TGTGTGTGTGTGTGTGTGTGTGTGTGTGTGTGTGTGTGTGTGCGTGCGTGCGTGCGTGCGTGCGTGCGTGAGTGCGTGTGTGTGTGTGTGTGTGCGCGCGTGCGTGTGCGTGTGCGTGTGCGTGTGCGTGTGCGTGCACGTACGTGCGTGCGCGCGTGTGTGTAACCGCCGCCGATTGCATTAAACTTGTTGCAATGCGATCATCGAACTCATTCATATAGGCCTACGTTCTGCTATTTCTCATAGTTGATGCCAGCAGCAGATACGATGGGACACGGTCGAATACGCCCAGCGATGTTTACGCCGTAGTCTGGGGAGAGTGGGGTATGCACGGATAATTAGAAGCAGCCTCGCTCTAACGAAGCCCCGACATGGCTTAGCGTTCCTAACGACGCCGTCGCTCTCAGGTTTCTCCTGTTAGTAGGGGCAAGGTCAAGCACAATTAACTTTGAACACATGACTGAATTTTCATCGCTGTTCCGGTATTGCATTCGCAGTGAATAACGCGTCGGAAATTCTGCGCTCGAGTGCTTCCTAATGTGGTCCAAATGCGTCCGACATCCTACCCCCGTCCACTCCCGGTCCGCGCTCGCCCCATCGTAATCAACTTCCACTAAAAACACCTGTAGGCGGGGGGGGGGAGGGCGGAGACTCCGGACAGAGCGCGCGTGTGTTTCGGCGGGCGTGAATGCACGCTCTATTCGTTAGCCGCGGCGAGCTCGCGGAAGCTTTCCCTCCTCAGATCTTGTTATGAGAGACAAACGTAAGCGGATCACGCACGCAGCAGCAGCCGTGGAGACGGGCGCACTTAGAAGTAGCCGCGCCGCGTGGAATGCAGCCGCAGACGCCGCGACGCGTTCACGGACGCACACGAACGTCGGACAACGAATCCAGAATCATCACGATCGGTCAAACGATTATATAGCCCGGAGTTTTTAATCTGACAACGGCGTAATACGATTGAATACCATGCAGCGTCTCGCTGTGTCGGTTAAACAAAGAGTACGCCAATAACGAGCGAAAACAAGAGTACATTCTATATAAGGTGGTAGCGGAGACACGATCGCGTTGTTTGGCTCAAATCGAAACTCATTGCAGATGTTTCCAATCGCTAATTGTGCAAAAGCAATCGTGATTTGGCTTTATGGCTTTGTTTTTACCTCGCATGGAATTCTGTGATTCAGACGTTTGGAAGTTGCAGGAACCATTAATAGTGAGCTAATAATAAACGTTGCTAAAAATAGAAAGCTAATCCTAAAATCTGCAAAGTTTACAAAGCTCGTTAACTATTTTCTCATCGATGCTGATTGCTCATTACATCTTTTCTGTACCACCTATTAGAACGTTTCAACATCGAAAAATTCGTGGCAATAAAAACGCAAACATATATATATATATACGCAACGCGTTCATATTACTTCTCATGTATCTCTTCTCCTCTGGTTCTCTCTCTCTCTCTCTCTCTCTCTCTCTCTCTCTCTCCATCGTCTGCTCTGCGTCGGTCTTTCTCTATCCTCATATCTCTCTCTTTTTTCTCGCTTGTCTCTCTGGCATATATATCTTCTCGCTCTCAATCTCCTTGCGCTCGTCTGCTCTTTCTCTCTCTCTCTTCTCTCTCGCCTCTCTCTCTCTCCTCTCACGGTCTCTCTCCTCTCTCTCTCGTTCTCTCTCTCTCTTCTCTCTCTCTTCTCTGCTCGTCCTCTCTTCATCTCTCTCTCTCTGCTTATCTATTCTCGCTGCTCAATCTCTCTCTATCTCTCTCTATATATATCTATTTATCTATCTAGTCTATCTATCTATCTATCTATCTACTATCTATCTATCAATCTATCTACTATCCTATCCTATCTGAGTCTATTATGCTATCTGTCTATTCTCTATTCTACTTTCTTCGTCTTTCTTTCTTTTCGTCTATGTCTATGTTTGTTTCTCTCTCAAACACACTCTCTATTCATTTCTATTTCTCTTCTCTTTCTCTTTTCTCTTTCTCTTTCTCTTTCTCTTTCCCTTCTTCTTTCTCGTTCTATTCCGCTTTCTCGTTCTCGTTCGCTTACATTCTTTTTCTTGTTTCGTTTTTCGTCCTCCAATGTTACGTTTCTCTTCGCTCATTCTGTTTCGCGCGTCTCGATTACATACGGTATCTTCATTGCGCGTTTATATAGTAGTTAAGTGTATTATACTGTTGGGAACATTTGTCCGACCGTTTTTCCCCAATTCCCGATTGTCACCAGCTTCCATTTACTGGGCCTATAGATATTTTGACGCTTTTTTTTGTTTCTTGAAGCTATATCTGACATTGCAATGTTTCATGATTTGTACTTTCTCGTTAGCCGATTTTCGTGTTTCCTTTACATTTATCGTTGTAATATAACGATATCAAGGAGTAAAGGAGATGGCGTAATGTTTAAAAACTGGCGAAAAGTTTAAGTGTTTACGCTTAAGTACTGTGTTAGCTTTGCGCGTTTTAATAAAAGCGCTCTAATACTTCACATTAGAGATCACCAGTGTTATCGTCATTATTCCGAAAAGTTAACTTATTTACGTGAAGGAAAGCTGATGTTATAATCTTATGATAAATTGTCTTTTAAGAGACGCACATTATAGCAGAACTAATTCTCCTTCTAAACTAAGCTTACCACAGCATTTGAAGCCATATTTAAGTGGTAATAAACGTAGTTTGGTTTATAATATTTTAATAACATACGAATATCATTTAAAGATAAAACCAATATAGATAGCTTTATTTATAATTGATATCGTATACCTCGCTCGAAAAGCGCGTGTGAAATAGTTAATGACAATCCAATTTTCAAGGATCGGCTAATTTTGTACACAATTTTAACTCCAACCTTTTGCGATATATTAGAACTGTGAACTCTGCGTATATTTTACTGTCAGCTACAGTGCCTTTTAACTACTTTGTCTAACTGGCGCGAGAGCTAGCCCTCTAGTAGACAGGCAAATTAATGACAGAAAGCCGGCAGAAGGGCAGCAGGAAGGAAGAAGCTGCGTACATCGGAGCGAAGCTGGGCCGACCGGGCAAGTTTGACCGTCATTTTTATTACTCGTGCTAAAATACCTACGGGGGCATTCCCTTCTGTCGCTATCATTATGTGTCAGGGTAAACTGTCAACCGCTAGATTTGGAATGGTGGGGTTGTCCAATTGACTGCGCGGGTCTCCGACTCTTTCTCGTCGCCATCCAGTCTTTTGGATTTAGGCAATTTTAAAACTTTTGCGCGTGCATTCCATGTCTCTGACCTCATCATATCGCTGCTGTGGCTGGCTGGTTGGTGCCG